CTTCTTATTGAATATTTTTTGAGATGAGCTCTGTGATGTTCAGAACATATCATATCTTTTGGTAATGCTGTGCTCACCAATGATCGTAAAATGGAGGTTTATGATTTGGCAAGATCAGCATAGAGTGCTTGGCTGGTTGCATGCTCTGTACACACCGTCCATAACCATTTTCTGCAAGGTGTTCCAGGCGCACCAGTGCCTTTCTTGCGTAGTAAGAGGACAACTACATCAGTATGTGGGATGTCGCTTCTTGCTGCCTCAAGTTGGCCTGGAACTTCTTCACGAGCCACTCCCTCATTGCATGCACCAGTCTGCCTGCAGCGTTCCTTGGGGCTGCATTCCCTGGTCTACCAAGTGATCCCTATGAGCAACATTTATGATCCACAATAGTGATACTTCTCTTATGTTCCCGACAGATATATAAGTATAGGAAGATATTAAAAAAAAAAATTTGCCATTTTAGATATAAGTTGAATTTTGTTTGTACACTTCACTTATTATTATCCTTGTTTGGAATTGTAACCATTAATCCTCTTGTATTTATTATATATCGACTCGTTTGTAACTGGAAGATCTTGAGTTCCGCAGCTTTATTTAGCCGACTCATGTTTTTTTACACTCTAGTCGCACTCCTGGTGATCGCTGCTGAGAGATGAGCACTTTCCTAAATGGCCAGTTGAAATGTTATGATGAAGTTATAATGAGGAAGAAATTAATGTTTTTTTCTGAGTTGTAATTCTCATAAGAAGTTTTTTATATGCAAATTGGGACATCATTTGCAACCATGGATTTTGTTCATTCATTTAACGAAGAATATGTAGTGCATTATACTGTATGACAGTATTATAGGGGTTGTATAAGAAATAAGCAGTCTATCTGTAGGGACTGTTTAATTGATTCAACATTTTCACAAATGTACACAACATAAACTGTTCAGTGAAACCATATTTTATTTTAAAATATTAAATTTAAGGCCAATTTGGTTGGTGTTCATTTTTTGGAAGTGTGTGTGTGCGTGTGCGCGTGTGTGTGTGTTTGCGTGCGTGAATACAATTCTTTCCTCCTCTTCACATTTGTTGCTTTAACTTTTTTTTTGTTCTTAGTACCTATGGAAATGTTGATATTTCATTTTTTATTGTCTCTTTGGCACACACAAAGTTTAAACTGAGGATGAACACTGAGTATGATTTATGCATATAATGTAAAAATGTCTTTGGTTGATTAGTCACCTAATTTGTGTATATATATATTTACCTGTAGATTAGTATTTTATTGAGTTTCAAAGCTGTTTACTTTATACCCAGAACTTGGAATTTAATTAAAACTAAGTATCATCACATATGAAGTTTGATACTAAACACCATGGGTTAATTTGGTAATTTTTATATATATATTTTTTATTATTATTATTTTAAATTTTCTTGCAGTGTATTGTATAAGGATTGATTACAAGATTTGATTAACATTGTGAACCATTACGAACAGTTCATGATCAACCTAAGGAAATAACAACTCTCTTTCAACTTACCATTGCAGAATACAGGGTTGGTATGTACGAAAAAATTAAATAGGGGTGCCAAAGTATTTTTGATACTTTCCAGCTAATTCAAAATTTTGGTGTGTTGTGGAATGCACACCTCACAGCCATGTCAGTAACTGCTCACCAATACTTGACACTCGTCATGCACCACATCTGTTTTGGATGCATGACATTTCAGGGGAGTTTACCTAAAAATAGGTTTGGATTTTGAAGAGCTTTTAATTACTTTTTTTTAAGTTTGCATTTTGAGATTTTATGATTAAGGGCACATCATTTTTACAATTATTGAGCATGACAGCAACCAAAGACATTAGATGACAATATTGAATTTAATTAGAAATGAGAATAGTGTCATAGATAAGCTTTTTGTGAGCAGTTATACTCATTTGAAGGTCAGAAGAAAATCCTTAAACATGCAAAAAAGATGGACATGAGACTAGGATAAAATCATTGTTACGAAGAGAAGAAATGCTCACCCGTTTCAAGGGAAAGCCGGGTAAATACCAGTATAGGCAGAAGAAACCGGGTCAAGTTCCTGTCTGACCTCTGACCCCGATTTCTATATTTCCATCTCTACTTGCAGTCACACACAGGTATTTTCACACACTGTAGATATTTACTTTTTTCTGTAAAGATTATTGTTCCCTTATCTTGATTATCTAGTCTTACCTTTTACATGATATTGTATGAAGAAAATTGAATCCTCTGATGTGAATTATAATTTTTTTTTCTTTTTTTGCTATAATGCTTTACAGTAAATGTGGTTTATTTAAAAATCAGGTTAATTTATCATACATTCATCCTATAGTATTTGTAATACAATTTCAATAACTTCTATTTTGCCAGATCAAAAATGTAAATAATTGTGTATATATTGCCTCTGGGTGTAGGTAAGAGCATCCATATATTAAAAAGTGTTATTATTGTGCTATATTCATAAATACAATACTAAATAATCCA